TTGAGGTAAGAGTATCAAGGACTTATCTGCTTAGGCTGGATCCAAACTTCGACCCTTCCCAGCCTAGTTTTATAGGCATGATGCACTGGCACCCTGCTATATAGGTTATTTTTGAGATAAACTCTCACTTTTTATCCTGGCCACTGCCAGGACCACGATTTACCTATTCTACACTTCCCACTGTAGCTAACATGACAGGCATCCGTCACCATGCCCAGGGCCTTCCACTGAAATGGGTATCGATAACTTTCCTGCCAGATGTAGCCAGGAACCAAGATGCTCCCAGCCTCAGCTTCCTGTACAGCTCAGATGACAAGCATGTGCTAGCGCACAAAGCTATTGGTTGAGAAGGGGGGTTCATCAATGTTTCTATATGGCTGGCCTCAAACTGAATTCAGCCTCCAAATAACCAGGATTTTTGAAGCATGAGCCACTGGTGACCAGCTAAAACAAGAATTTTTAAAGTAAAATGAAGAAAAAGAAAACATGGGTTACTGGGCTTTTCACCGGAGTTGATTTAGTTCAAGACAGTATAAGACAGTTTCAGGCAAAGCAAGTGTTCTTATAAATCTGTTCAGCTGTCTTTGAACTCACGGAGCAAGCTGAAGTGGGAAAAGTCTTTTGTGAAAGTTCTACTTAGCCTTCAGTGAGGCTTTGTAATACCACAAGCATGCACAAGTGGTCTTCCTTGAATCTATTTTGTGTTTGACACAATGAGTCCATCTTGATTTTGAAAACATTCCCAATTTTTTTTTTTTTTTGCCCAAGTGCTCTGGGTATAAGTTCCAATGCTACATTGAAGTGGTGAGACTGGGCATTTTTGCTTTGTTCCTGATCTTAGGAGAAAGGATTTTTTCCTTCCCCATTAAATATGTCAATAGTGGACTTTTCACAAATGTCATTTATTTTCATATGTGGCACTCATATATGGTTGACAGTTTATCTTTACATGTAGTTTGTCAAGGACTAAAACCACCCCCAAAGAAATGTGATCTTTAAATTTCAAAAATTGAACCAACAACCCAGAAATTTAATTTCTATAGCAAAAGACCTGAAACCAAAGATTCTTCTCACAATGAAATAGACTCTTTCATTGCAATCCAATGCCCTTAAAAACTGTATTAGAGAGCCTTGACTTTAATGCCTGGAAGGTTGTTCTTGGCACGTTAGTTTGCCTTCCAAGGTTCCTAATTTTGTATTTCCAGACTTAGTCTTTTATCTGCTTTATATATATGTATATCCTATGAAGTTGTGATTCATTTAAAACAATTCATTTATTTTAGTAAGTGAAACCCAACATTAATCTGGTTTTACCATGATAAACAGATACAGATAAGTTCACAGCCAAGGTGGTTGGTCAAGTTCTGTGAAGATCAGGCACAAGCAGTGGGTCTCAGTGGCTACACAGGTGTCCAATAAGTCAAGTGGAGAAGGGAATGGCCTTCAGAAGTTGCATGGCTCAGCACAATGACCTTTAAATGATGTCTGCTAAAGGACACGTGGACACACATTGGGACACAGACACACAGACACACACACACACACACACACACACACACACACACACAGAGAGAAAGATTTTTCTTGACCCTCACATCTGAAGGAAAAACTTTCAGTAGTTAAATAACAAGGGGGGCTCTACAGTGACCTCACACGTCTCTTCCCTTGGAAGGCTCTAGTGTTGTGGCCTACAACCCTCTAAGCCACAATAGACAACAATAAATATCTGTTGAGCAATTACAGTAGAGGAGAGTGAAAATCTAACCAGAAAACAGGGAGAAAGCTAGGCATAAGTGGCTCATGCCTACTGTAATCCTAACCATGATCTCGGGATCACAGTTTAAAGCCAATCTGGGCAGGAAAGTCTGTGAGACTCTCATCTCCAATTAACAACCAGAAAACTAAAAGTGGAGCTGTGACTCAAAGTAGCAGAGAGCTGGCAAGCCTTAAGCAAAGCAGCTCAGGCCCAGCACTCAGGCCGTGAGTTCAAGTCCCACAACCAGCAAAAAAAAAAAAAAGAAAACCAGGGAGAAGAGTAAACTAAAGGGCTAGAAATGTTGCTTAGTGGTAGAGTGCTTGCCTAGCATGCATGAAGCCCTAGGTTCAATTCCTCAGTACCACATACACAGTAAAAAGCCAGAAGTGGCGCTATGGCTCAAGCAGTAGAGCACAAACCTTGAGCCAAAGAAGCTTAGGGACAGTGCCCAGGCCCAGCGTTCAAGCCCCAGAACTGCCAAAAAAAAAAAGGACCCCCTCCCCACCGAAAAGAAGAGTAAACTAAAGTAAGAGTTCAAAGGAAGAATAAAAACAAGGAGAGGGAGCTGGGAAGGTGGCTCAGTGATAGAGTGCTTGCCTTGTATGCAAGAGCTGAGGGACAGCACCCAGAGTTCAGACCCCCCACAACCGACAAAAAAAAAAAAACAAGGAGAGAATGTTGATGAAGACAAATTGGGTTGTCATAACTGATCTCTGAAAAAGAGAACAATGTGGCTCCATGGAAAAGAGGAAGAATAAGCATTTGAGAAAATCAGTGTAGGGGCTGGGAAGGTGGCTCTGGGGTAGAATACTTGCCTTGCATGCACAAGGCCCTGAGTTCGATTCCTCAGCACCTCATAAGCAGAAAAAGCTGGAAGTGGCACTGTGGCTCAAGTGATAGAGTGCTAGCCTTAGCTGAAGAGCTCAGGGACAGCGCCCAGGCCCAGAGTTCAAGCCCCAAGACCGAAAAAGGTAAAAGAAAAAAGCAAATCAGTCTAATCAAACCTGAGGCGCAGTAAGTAAGCTTAACACATACAGGACAGTGGGCTTGGCACTGGAGTAGAGCAAGAGAAAAAGACAGATAAGAAGAAATGATCATGCAACACAGCAAAAGGTCTGGGACAGAAATAAAATTAATGTTCCACTTCCAACATATGCTGATATTTTATTACCATTTCAAGGGAAGACATTCCTAAGCAGTAAAAAGAAGGTGGCAAGATTCTATGTGATTTTGTTAGGTTATTTCTGTCATGATAAACTTCCTTTCACAGACCCATTTGTCAGGATAATGAATCCTGACATCTGGTTTTTTCTGGTCCATGAGTAATAGGAGCTGTAGAAGACCACACACATCCTTCTTGACCACCTATGACACACTGGTCAGATGTGAACAATGTATATTCTTCACGGCTCATTGGAAAGGAGAAACAACAAAAGAAGCAAGCATTATGAGAAGTAAAGCCACTGTATATAGTTACTTTAGACAGAGTTGGAGAGTAAAGGAGGGCTGGGAAGTTGGCTCAGTGGTAGAGTGCTTGCCGTGCATGTATGAGGCTCTGGGTTTGATTCCTCAGCACCACATAAGCAGAGAAAGCCAGAAGTGGCGTTGTGGCTCAAGTAGTAAAGTGCTGGCCTTGAGCTGAAGAGCTGAGGGACAGTACCCAGGCTCAGAGTTCAAGCCCAGGACTGGCAAAACGAGAGAGACAGAGAGAGTAAAGGACCTTTGTACTCCACTCTTTAGCAAAACAAACAAATAGAAAATTAGCACAATGAAGACACCACACACACTAAATATTGAGTTCAAGTGTTTCATGTGCAGCTCCAAGACAAAATACCAAGACATTTTCTGTGATGATCTGTAAGATTTTTGTTTTGCACTTTACATATTCTTACCTCTGTTTTTCCTGTTCATAATCCATTAGTGCCTTATTATACGTAGCCAAAGAGATTAAATACACTTCTAAATTATCAGGGCAGGAGGCATGGCTCAAGTGATAGAACTTCTGCCTAGCAAGCCTAAGACCCTGAGTTTGAATGCAAATGCTGCCAAATGTGAAAATAATTACCTACTGAAATGTTTAAAATGTCCCTTAGCATCTCAACTTGCTCAAATACACAAATTTACTATTTTTCAAGAAAAAGCAAAGATGGCACATAGAATTTGCTAAATATTTCATGAATATTTGATGTCAGCATGCTTTGTTAATTTTTACTCAATTACAACAAGCTTTCTCAGACTATGTATTTTGCAAATAATTAAGTCTGATATCTTGTCCTGCTTTCATTAGAGGGGACAATGACCTGGCTTCTAAATGGCCTGAAAGTTAAGCTGAAGAATAAAAGCAACATGGTTATTTTTAGAGCTCTACAGGCATAAAAATACAGCACTAAACTGTGACCTGCAGCTATGCACAGCAAAGCATCACATCATGCGACCGTCTTCACTGGAGCCAGGAGCGCATCTGTGGTGCCTCGGTGAACGGACTGCTTCTCAGCTCATCACCAAAGACCTGTCAGCTTGCATTTGGGACCAGCATCCACAGCTGGCAACATCTTTTCCCAATAGAATTAAAAGGGAGACCATTATACAAACTGTGAAGATTAACTAGTAAGTTATTTTTGTCACTTCTTCTAGCTTATTTCCAAGGTGAATTAATGAGCATTCTCTCCAAATGAAGACATCACAACCTCATTCCTAACATAGAAAGTTGTTTATTTTGAACAGTTTCAGTGGGTAAACCGGGAGGCTCACTGCTTCCACAGAGGACATATCGAGGAGAACCACGTAAGCCTGACTGGAACACAGCCTCATCACCAATTCAGGTAAACTTTGGCAACATCCCAACATCAGCTCCATCCACGTGGCAGGTAAGCTTTAAGCCTTTTCTGGAAAAGTGTACCTTTTTGAGACACGCTTTTATATAGCACTCTTCAATATGATAGTATCTAAAACATCCTAACAACTTTTATTGTAAGGGTTATTTTCAGAAACTATTCAGTCTGTAGTTATCTCTGACTTTGTCTATTTAGTTTCTGCTTAGCTATATATGTATTTTCCAAGCTTGGTTTTTTTACATTGACCTAGTTAGAAACTGAAAGACTTTAATCCTTAGTCTAATCTTACTTTGACCTGTATATCCAACTAGTGAAAAAGGCATACACTTTTCTGGTAATTTCATTTAAAAAGTATTGTAAAATTACTATTATAAGAATAAATATTTGCTCATCAGAACCACAGGCTAAAAATGCCACTTTTCCGCTGGATGAAATGGCCAAGAAATGAGTCGTACAAGTCCACACATTACGCTGGCTCAGACATAGTGACAAAAACTCTGCTTCGGGAATTAAAGTGGCATCTCAAGGAGCGAGAGAGATTAATACAAGAGATAGAAAATGAACAGAAAGTGAAAAAAACTGGTGTGGATTACAACTGGCTGAGAAGCTACCAGAATCCCCACGTAACTATCCCAGCTACTGAACAAAGACAACTTGAAACCCTTTGCTCCCAAGTTCAACCTTGCCAAACCGGAACCATTCTCAGCAGGTAAAACTACCATGTTCTCAGGCTGGGAAGGTGGCTCGGTGGTTGAGTGCTTACCTAGCATGCATGAAGCCCTAGGTTTGATTCCTCAGTACCACATAAACAGAAAAAGCCAGAAGTAGCACTGTGGTTCAAGTGGTAGAGCGCTAGCCTTGAGCACAGAGAGGCTCAGGGATAGTGCCCAGGCCTTGACTTCAAGCCCCAGGACTAGCCAGAAAAAAAAAAAAAAAAACACCATGTTCTCTTCTGTTGACATGTGATGCTGCCCAGTCTAAGTCCCTCACATATTCAGACTAGAAATTGTGATGTTATATAAAGTTATACCCATCAAATCCCTAGATACAGGTGGAATAGACCTGTCCCCAGCTATCTTACTGTAGGACATTTTTTAAATCACAACCAGATTTTCTTTACCAGAAGCATAGTTTTAAAGCATAAATTTATGTGCAGATTATTCTAAAGGTGAGTAATTAGTACACAATGACATCATATAAGTTGTATTTAGGAAATGAAGAAAAGAACATTTATTCTCCATCCTCTCTAGATTTCGGGAAGTTTTGGCAGAAAATGATGTACTGCCATGGGAAATTGTCTACATCTTCAAGCAAGTTCTGAAAGACTTTCTGAGCAGTCCCGACAGAGATCACCAGCACCAGGGCCCACAGGACCCCTGGGGTGCTCGCCACCCTCCCTCAGGGCTTGCGGGCGAAAGCTCCCAGAGTCCAGACAAGGATGAAATACCCACTATTTCAAGTTATGTAGACAGAAACACAAAGAACAGGTTCCCAGCATGCTCATACAGAATATGGAACCTGCCGTATTATCACCCATCAAATTAAGGTACTCATTTAGTGGGGGTTTATAGCCATCTTAGAATTGTAACTATTCATATTGTCAATAAGAAAAGTGATAGGTAGCTTCAAATTTCTGTTACAATGCCAGAAGTTAACATTTCGGTGGAAGTATCCTGTTTTAAATTGTATTCTATAAATATGCAATGTTTTCATTCAACAGTATACTTTTAAAAAGTGTTTCCTAAATATTTTGAAAATGTTTGAAGTATTTTTTGGGGGGGGAGTCAGATCGTGGGGCCTGAACCCTGGGCCTGGGTGCTGTCCCTCAGCTCTTCAGCTCAAGGCTAGCGCTCTACCACTTGAGCCACAGCACCACTTCCGGCTTTTTTCTTTTCGCTTATGTGGTGCTAAAGAATCGAACCCAGGGCTTCATGCATGCTAGGGAAGTGCTCTACCACTGAGCCACCTTCCCAGCCCTGAAGTATTTTCTTATACCTCAAACAAATCATACAGAACCTAAAGCAATTTAATATAAAGCCTGACAAATTAAACTATGAAACTTAGCTTGACTTTTATTCTAGAATAAAGAATTGATGTAAATATTTCATATACAATACAGCACTAGAATAGAGTCAACATCCATTCTAAGATCTCAGCAGGGGATAGGGACTAGACTCAGAGGGAAGGAATATAATGTAGATAACATGCAGTTTATAAACAAAGGAGTGCTTTACCCTGACAAGAACACTCATTTTTAATCACAGTATTTTTAACTCAACAATAATGGGAAGTATTTTAAAATAGCTTTATATTTTATCAATAAAAATAAATGGACTGATCTGGAAACTTGAAGAGAAGGGAGGGTTTTGAAAGATGGAAGGGATGACACTGATGAACATATACTGTACTTACTAACAGACATGTTGAATTAAACCCCTTTGTATAACTACTTAAATGTTAAAAAAAAAAAAAATGGACTGGTTTAACATTCCCGGCTGGGAATGTGGCTTAGTGGCAGCAGAGTGCTTGCCTAGCATGCATGAAGCCCTGGGTTCAAGTCTTCAGTACCACACAAGCAGAAAAGGTTGGAAGTAGAGCTGTGGCTCAAGTGGTAGAGTGCTAGCTAACCTTGAGCAAAAGCAGCTCAGGGACACTGCCCAGGCCCTGAGTTCAACGCCACAGGACTGGGGGGGAAAAAAATCTATGCTAACATACAATTTAAATCTGTATTATGCTCATACAAAATAGCAAAATATTTAGTATATAAAATTTAATGTATTTTATAGCTTCCTTAAATAAAAAAATGCAATAATCAGATTCATCCTTCCAGTAAAGACTATAAATCTTTAGGCCCTGTGGTGTCCATACTTGTATTAGTTTTCTTTCATCTAAAAAGAAAAAAAAAAAAAATCAAACCTAAAACTAGATACATTGTACATTAAATACATACACATGTGTGCACACACACACTTCTCTTTTTGCTTGCCTGGCTATCTAGTGTTATATCATTTTCAACTGGCCTCTCAATTTGGTCTTTTTTTTTTTTTTTTTTTTTGTCGGCCGTGGGGCTTGAACTCCGGGCCTGGGCGCTGTCCCTCAGCTCTTCAGCTCAAGGCGAGCGCTCTACCATTTGAGCTACAGCGCCACTTCCGGTTTTCTGGTGGTTTATTGGAGATAGAAGTCTCACGGTCTTTCTTGCCCCGGCTGGCTTTGAACCGCGATCCTCAGATCTCAGCCTCCTGAGTAGCTAGGATTACAGGCGTGAGCCACCAGCGCCAGGCCTCAATTTGGTCTTAAATGCCATCCATGCAATAAATACATCTAGTCAGGTTTAATAAAAAAAGGAAAATGGAACACAGTTCGAACTACATTTGAAATAAAGACACTTCACACAACTGTTCCTTTTTTTTTTTTTTTTTTTTGGGTCTGGTCGTGGGGCCTGAACTCTGGGCCTGGGCGCTGTCCCTCAGCTCTTCAGCTCAAGGCTAGCACTCTACCACTTGAGCCACAGAGCCACTTCCGGCTTTTTTTCTTTTTGCTTATGTGGTGCTGGGGAATCGAACCCAGGGCCTCAAGCATGCAATGTAAGCGCTCTACCACTGAGCCACCTTCCCAGCCCCAACTGTTCCTTTCTTGCTCCATGACATAACACAGAGTTTCTTCATCAGACTGTAAGGTTTCTTAAGAATGTAAACTATTTGTGAGAGATAAATGTTCCCAAAAGTACACAACTGCTACCTGTGCACAAATATAAAAAGTAGCAAACATAGCCAGGCACACTGGTACATAACTCCCAACTACTTGAGAAGATGAGGCAGGAAGAGCATTTCTGAGTCCACAACTTCAAGACCAGCCTAACAACACAGTGAATCCCCACCTCAGAAGTAAACATAAAAAATATTTTTTCTAAGAAAGTAACAAGGAGTTTTAAGAAAATGTCAATAATAAATAATCAATAAATTATTCTTGATTGCAAGAACAAAATTTTGTTTTAAACAGACTGTGGAGTTTGTCTCTGAAGTCGGTACTAGAACTGGTAACTTCCTGGTCTCTCAGGAAGGAAATGCCAGGGGCATTCTTCTGCACAGCAACTCAGACAATTCAGAGGGCCATCCTATATACTGACAGGAAGAAAACACTGTATCCAACAACTCTGCCCCAAAGCTCAGAGGGAAGCAGTAGGCAGCGGTGTCATTCTACCAGCCAGGAGGAGAGTGAATCCTCTGCTAGTCCAAATCACCCACGGTGCAAACGATTCATTTCACAACCACACTTTAAAAGGGAATCAAAGAACAGACTGTTTTTGGAGTTTCTCCCTCACTTCGTTGTTGGCGCCTAAAGCCCACACCAGGTGTAGTGACGCATGCTGTAACCCCAGCTACTTGGCAGGTGAAGGCAGGAGGATAGAGTCTGAGGCCAGCCCTGACAAAGATGGTGAGACTCCTCCGTCTCAAAAAAAACCAATTAAAATAGAGCTGGGAGCCGGTGGCTCACGCGTGTCATCCTAGCTACTCAGGAGGCTGAGCTCGAGGATGGCGGTTCAAAGCCAGCCCGGGTAGGGAAAATAATCCGTGAGATTCTTTGGATCCAATTAACCAGAAAAAAAGCTGGAAGCACCAGCCCTGTGTGAAAAAGCTACACACACGCGAGCGCGCACACACACACACGTGAACACACGCGAGGGCCGGGCCGGACTGAGGGGGAGGGACGCCCCACCTCCCCCACCCCCACCCCGCCCCCCCTCTACCTCCTGGAGGCCGAGGCCAGGCTGGTGGGCGCCGGAGCCCGGGTGGGGACCGGGGGCGAGGCCTCCGGGGCCGGAACTGGAGCTGGGGCCTGGGCCGCGAGGCCGAGGCCGGCGGCCGCGTCCCGGCCCGGCGCCTCAGCCGGGAAGGCGGGCGGCGAGCCCAGCAGCTCCACATTGGTCACCGTCTTCCCGATGGTGAACCAGTCGTTAATCTGGTCGATGGTGAGCTTCCGCAACATCCTGGGAGTGGCGGGTCTGCGCGGCGTCAACTGCCTGGGCCGAGTGGCGGGAACACCCCACGCGGAAAACGTCGGGTACCGCACTGGAAGACCCGCCCCACCGGCCCAGGCCCTCCAATCAGGGCGTGCGCTCGACGGGGAGGGCGGAGCCAGGCCTCTGAGCCCTGCACGTGCGCCTCACGCACGCACGAGCACGACGAGGCCGGCCTAGCGCGAGGCCTGCTGGGACAGCAGGTCAGGTGACCGGAGCCCGGCCGAGGGCCTCGAGGCCGAGACGGGTCCTGTGCGCGGTGCGTCCGGAGGTTCAGGTCCGCCAGGCCAGCGGGGCACCCCTCCTCTGGGGTCCCGGACAGAGCCTGGCGAGCCGGCGCGGCCCGAGGGCCCGGCCGCACCCTCAGGACGGTCTGCCGCGCAGGGAAGGCGGTGGAAGGCCTCAAACCACTCAGGAGAGGGACTGCGTGAGCTTCCGGCCGACCGGGAGAGCGACGGGCCCGTGCCCTGGGCCTCCACAAAGCCTCGGCGCAGCCACTGAGCAAATCGGCCAGACAGTCCTTCCAGAACATTCCTCAGAGTGTTGGGATTTGAAAGGAAGCATACTAAAAGCCTATTGATCTCATGTAGTCTGAAGTTCCCAGGCTTAGCCTTGCAACAGCATCGCATGAAGGTCTTAACTTTCTCCCAAGTGCTCATTCCTGCCCTCAGCAGTTTTCGAAGTCATCCTGTTTAAAATATATCTCAAGTGGCTCAAGTGGTTAAATATATTTCACCCTCAGAGCCTCTTTAATTAACACTCAGGGTGGGGGAGGGTGTGCCTAGATTTGGACTTGATCTCAGGGCCACTCACGCGTGGTACTCATCAGTTGAGCCAAGCATCCGCTTGTGTTTTTGCTGGTTATTTACAGATAAGAGTCTCTCGTTTTGCCGGGCGCTGGTGGCTCACGCCTGTAATCCTAGCTACTCAGGAGGCTGAGATCTGAGGATCGCGGTTCAAAGCCAGCCCGGGCAGGAGAGACCGTGAGACTCCTATCTCCAATAAACCACCAGAAAACCGGAAGTGGCGCTGTAGCTCAAGTGGTAGAGCGCTCGCCTTGAGCTGAAGAGCTGAGGGACAGCGCCCAGACCCAGAGTTCAAGCCCCACGACTGACAAAAAAAAAAAAAGAGTCTCTCGTTTTATAAGCCAAAGATTGTAGGCCTGACCCACCAGCACCAGGCTCTCTTCACACTCTTAACAGTGAAGACCCTAAAGAGCATTTATTTATGTCATCTACTATATGAGGGATTTCAACTGGTATTTATTACTAAAACAATAATAAACACATTTGATGTTAGGGAATATTTTTATGAGAGACAGTATATTCCCCCCCCAAAAAAAAGTCATGTATGTGAAGAGTGACATGACTATTTTCATATTCACTGTTTCCTTGTTGTCTGGCTGAATGGAAGGAAGCTGCTCAAATCGGTTTTGATATTTCTTCTGTTCTTTCTAGAACCAGTGAGCCTCTAAGGAGGTCTCCAAAAGGGAGGAGGTTTCTTCCTTGGGTACTGAGTTCATGATGTTGTCACAAAATTATTGTAGGACATATGGAGGCAGAGCCAAGAAATTTTATTTGCAAGGCAAAACAAAGGAAAGGACAGTACAAGACTTACATGCTGGGCTGGGAAGGTGGCTCAGTGGTAGAGAGCTTGCCTTGCATGCCTGAGGCCCTGGGTTCGATTCCTCAGCACCACATAAGCAAAAAGCTGGAAGTGGCGCTGTGGCTCAAGTGGTAGAGCGCTAGCCTTGAGCTGAAGAGCTGAGGGACAGCGCCCAGGCCCAGAGTTCAGGCCCCACGACCGGACTCAAAAAAAAAAAAAAAAAAGACTTACATGCTCCAAAATGAAGACTCAAGTTTTTAGGCCCCAGACCCAAATTCCTTGAATTTCACATCAGGTTCAGCCACTTGCTCCAACTCACTCACTAAAGAGATGAGTGATGGAGAAGGGCAAAGAAAGACTTGTTGCCTAGTTTGGGTAACCAATAGAAGAGAAAAAGTAAATGTTCAGCCCAAATTCAGTCATCTTGAGCCTTAGGTTTAAATAGACAAAGAATTCAGGGGTGCTGGAAGAGAGAGGGATACGTAATATTAGACAACCCGGGTCTCAGGTGTATTCCAGGTAGATCGCATCTCAGTCCAGGTTTGGGGAGGGGTTTCAGGTGCATTATCACTGTCATCAGGGGTCCGGTGATATAGTTTTTGTTGACTGGGGGGCCAGGTGTCCTGCTGGTCTCTGCTGTTTCTTTCCTTGTTGGCAGTCTTTTCCATCCTTCCTTGGAAAAATCGTTAAGTCCTGTCCTCTCTGGATTCCAAGGTGGCTGCAGTAGAGAATGGCTTAGACCAAAGTATAGCTGCAAGGTCGCGGCAGGGGAGCCCAGCTTTTCTCCTGCTTTGAGATAATTTGTGGACCCAAGTAATGAGTCAGCGCTTCTCAAAAAAAAAAAAAAGCAGCTGAAGTATCAGAGGAATTTTTTTTTTTTTTTTGTCCATCATGGGGCTTGAACTCAGAGCCTGGGCACATTGTCTCTGAGCTCTTTTTGCTCAAGGCTAGCACCCTAGCACTTTGAGCCACAGCACCACTTTGGGTTTCCTACTGGTTAATTGGAGATAAAAGTCTCATGGGCTTTCCTGCTTTGGCTGGCTTTTAACTGTAATCCTCAAATCTCAGCCTCCTGAATAGCTAGAATTACAGGTGTGAGCCACCAGTGCCCAGCATTAGAGGAATTTATAGTGAAAAAGTGGGTTGAGGGTTTGGCTTAAAGTCACGCTTGTTTTGGATTTGTGGTATATTGGATCGCTCTTGCTGTTATACTATTTTGAAATTGCTCAATTGGGCCCAGAGATATCAAGTCTTGTCAGTTCAATCAATTTGGGTCATTGTGACCCAAAACAAAATTTCTTTAAATAAAGAAAGGGTTTTATCATAGGTTCCTTTTAAGTTAGGTGTCCTTCCTAAAGGTAGATATTCTTCAAAATATTTTGCAAACATAACTGTTACCAAAAGAGCCATTTTACCCAGTGTTTTGCTCCCAGGATAGGTGGGAAAGTGTCTTTTCTCCCAACTCGGTTCTCAGAGTAACCACTTGGTCAAGCAGGTAAGATCCAAGGGGACAGGCTCTCCGCTCCCCCGCCGCGCCCGCCCCTCTCCGTTCACTCTGTTCATGCTGCTGGGCAGCTTTTTCTTGACTTTTAATTCAACAATTCTCCCACTATCTGAGCAACTAAAAGCTGATTCGGCTCTTTATTACCTGAGTGGGCTTTTCCAAGTCCCGCCAATGTTCTCTTGGCTTTCTGTTCGTTTTCCTTAAACATGAACAGCACGGGTAAAGGTCGCGCGGCCCGCGCGCGGGGCGAGGGCCGCCGGGGGCGCTGTGGGCGCAGGTGCGGCCGCGCCGCTCGCGCGGGCGCCTCGCTGCTCCTTCCGCCTTCCCGGCGGGCCCTGCGCGGCGCCTGCGCGGCTCGTGACCTTTCCTGGCGGACGGCTGTGGGGTCTGGCGGGGTCTGAGCCCTCGGTCCCGTCGAGGTGAGAGCGGGGCCTGGCCCTCGGCGGCCGGGGCTGGCCGCGAGCGGGACGGGAGCGGCGGGGCCCGGCAGCGGGCGTCGGGAGGGCGGGCGAGGGCCCCGCGCGCACGCTGACCTTGGTTCGGCCCGCTCGCCCGCCCCGGCCTCCGGAATGGCCGGGGAGCACGGCGGCCGGGCCCGAGCCCACCCGCGGTGGAGGGGGCTGCCCGCGGGGCCCTCCCGCCCGCCCGGGAGCTGGCTAGTCACCTTCCCTGCGGTTCCACTGTGCCAACCCGCACTGCACATGCAAGTCTGGGTCGACGGCTGGGTACAGGCAGCGTCCGGAGGAACGTGAAGGGCAGGAGCTGTTTCCTTGGTCCCTTTCTTGTCCGAGAGCGGCACTCAAACCCGGCATCTGACGCCTTCCCCTGAGCCGCACCTCCAGCCGCTGGGATGGGACGTTAAAATGGGCGCTGTCAGACTGGTTCAGCTAGGAAGAGTGGCTGGGATGAAGGGACTCGGACGGAAAAAGGAAAGGTCCTCTCATGAGGAACGTATCACTGTTCCAGCAAATACAGCAGAAGTAAAGCTGCCTGTTTGAGTATGTTCTGTGTCTTGGGTGGTGGCACGCACCCACCCCCACGCCACCAGGGACCCGTGGTAATTTGAGGTGAGGAGACAATGCTAAGGTGTCTAGACCCTGGGCTGGAGTCCTTTTCACTCTCCAGTTTATTGTCCTTGATCTCACTGTGCCTGATGCCCTTACCTCACCTGAATGGAGACTTTGTCGTTGTTTTAATGTTTGAAGTTTAAAAGGTTTGAACACAAGGTTTTGAATTTACCAGGCAGATGCTATCCACTTGAGCCACACTCCGAGACCTTTCTGCTTTCATTATTTTTCAAATAGAGGCTTGGGCCTCAATCCTGTTTATGCTTCCGGTATAAATAGGATGACAGGCACATGCCTGCGTCCAATTGTTTTTGTGTTTTGGTTTTGGTCAGTCAGGCTTGAACTAGACCTATGTGCTGTCCCTGAGTCCTTTTGTTCAAGGCTAGTGCTCTGCCACTTTGACACAGTTTTCAGGTGGTTACTTGGAGATAAGAGTCTCAGACTTTCCTATCCAGGCTGGCTTTGAACCATGATCCTCAGATCTCAGCCTCCCTGAATGGCTAGGATTACAGGCATGAGCCACACAGCACCCAACTATATCCAGCTTTTTTGTTGGTTGAGATTTGACATCCCAAACTTCTTTCTCTTCTCGCCTTGATCCTCAGTCTCATCAATCTTAACCTACTGAGGATCTAGGACTCTAGTCATGAACTACTGCTCCAAGCAGTGAAGTATTTTGGTTTTTGTTTTATCCTAGCTAGAAATGCCAGTGGCTTGGGATTATTGTTAGCTAAGCATTTTTAGTGATTGTTTCTGTTACTGCTATGATCCTTTACTGAATTCTTAGATGGGTCCTTTTTATTCCTTCTGGACCCCACTGATTGCTCTGTGAGGTAGGTGGAGGGCCCCTATGAAGCAGCAGCATCAGAGCAGAGCAAGCATAGCTGGTATTGAGACCTAGGTTCCCCAGCACCATTCCAGTCCTTTCTGGTCCCAGAGGGGAGGGGTTCACTCCTTGTCCCAGAACCCCCCTTGAGTCCTGTTTGGATTTTCTCAAGAGAAGGCTGTTGATAGGTTCCTTGGAACCTTTAATACTCTGTCACAAAGGCAGGATACAATGAGAAGAAATTTGAGTGCAGAGATGACCCACAAGTAGTTCCAAGAGAAGATTACAGACCCATCCCACAAGGTGGCACTCAAGGAGCCATGCATCAACTTGGTGCCCAAAAGGAAGATCAGAGCAGGGAGCCTGTAATCCTAGCTACTCAGGATGCTGAGATCTGAGGATTGAGATTCAAAGCCAGCCCAGGCAGGAAAGTCCGTGAGACCCTTACCTCCAATAAACCACTAGAAAACCAGAAGTGGCTCTGTGGCTCACGCAGTAGAGCACTGGCCTTGAGCTGAAAAGTGCAGGGACAGTGCCCACGCACAGAGTTCAAGCCCCACGACTGACAAAAAAAAAAAGGAAGATCAGAAAACCAGCAACTGTCTAGTGGTCAGGTGGCACATTTCAGTTCTCCAAGTTCATTCTGGCCTCTAAGCATATCCATACCTTGGCTGAGGACATGTCTCTAGATAGCCCAGTTCTGTTTCTTTGCTCCTAAGAGTTATACCTAGTTTACATTTGCTGTGTGAATAAAAGACCATACAGGTTTGGTCATTTTATATTTTTTATATTTTTTTGTTGGTCATGGGGCTTGAACTCTGGGCCTGGGTGCTATCCCTGCTCTCTTCAGCTCAAAGCGAGCACTCTACCACGCCACAGCACCACTTCCAGTTTTCTGGTGGTTTATTGGAAATAAGAGTTTCATAGCTTTTCCTGCCTGGGCTGGCTTTGAGCTGCGATCCTCACATCTCAGCCTCCTGAGTAGCTAGGATGACAGGTGTGAGCCACCAGCGCCCGGCACAGTCATTTTCTTATGTGTGGTGCTAAGAATCAAACCGAGGGTGGTGCCCGTGCTAAGCAAGCCACTGTACCTCTGAACTACATCCCAGCCCCAGATTAAGATATTTAAGCAACCATTGGCCTATCACTGGGTTGGGCCTACAAAGCTGACACGCTGGGACCATGGAAAATCACAATAGGGGAGAGAAGTAGAATTCTGCATATGGTGGTGACACGCGAGGACTCCGCCAGAGTGTAGTGTGTGTGGTAGTGATGTGAGAGGATGGGTTCTGGACCAGGCAAGACACTAGCCATGGTGCAGCTTCCAGGAGATAGGAAGTGCTCAGAGCTGCTGACAGCTGCTGGAATGCCTTACCTGCTGTCTTTCATCTTAAAGTGAAAACAAGGTATCTAGCAAGGAGTCTGCTAGAGTTCCTTGTAGATACATTGAAAGCATTCCTTAGAGCCCAGCACATAAAGGACCCCTAAGTTCAGATATCAGTGGCTTTTCCAGTTAAATCCAGTTGGTTATTTATTAAATAAATTATGTCGTGTTTGGACGTTTGTCCTATGCTATCTGTTGTGTAGGGAGCCATGAGCTTGGGAGTGAGCTACTACTGGACAGTGTGCCCAGACCTGGGTGTTTGTTTCATGAGGAAATCATACCTGACCCTGTGGTTTCACTTACCCGCAGAGTTCCCACTTAAGTGGGGTGGTGTGTGACTTGGGGCACAGTGCTGGTGGAAGATAGGCTGATGTTTGTCACTGTTCATTTTCAGATGCTTCAAAGCTTTTTGAAAAATGTCTGGATCCCCCTGAAACCCTACTACACCCAGGTTTACCAGGAGATCTGGGTAGGGATGGGGTTGATGGGCTTCATCGTGTATAAGATCAGGAGTGCTGGTAAGTTTTTATTATTATTATTATTTAAGCTTAGGAAGAAAACTTTCCTGAATCAGATCAGTGGCTCTTCATAGGGCACAAACAACGATCTGTTGTGATCCTTTGTGAGAATCTGGGCAGTGGAGGCTGACTGGGAAAAGCCTGGGGACAGTAGGGAAACTGATCAAGAACCTTGATAACCTGGGTATGACAGTAGTACTAATACACGGGAAGCGCCCTTCATCTTAAGTGACACAGGCTGAGATGCCTTGAGGCACAGTGTTATGTGCAGTGCTTTCTCAAGCTTTTTCAACTGCCATGTCTTCCTAATGAAACTTGAAAACTTGAAATGGGGGAATAAGAATGTGGTTCTCCATGGAACAGAGACAAAGCCCAGTTGTGTAGTAAGCCCTTGATTAGGAAGAGGGAGGAAGAAGGGGTGTGGAGGGGAGGAGGGAAGAAGCGAGCCATCAGAATGCGAAGGGCAAGGGGCCCTGCGTCAGAAGCCGCCCACGTGTGACTCCTGTTGGCCCAGGGCTCCCTCCGCTGCTTCGCCTGAGCGGTGACGTCTCAGCCAAATGTTGACTTTGACAGTTACCAAAAGATACAGCATTGATGCAACCAACTTTTCACTTTTATTTTAGATAAAAGAAGTAAGGCTTTAAAAGGTAAGTTTTTTTTTCTTTTTTGAATGGTTGGGAAATGAAAAACACCATCTTATCTTTTCAAACCAAATTGTATCAGTTCTGAATTAAAATGAATCTAAATGCAGTAAGTATGTGAAGTAGTAGAGTAGAATACTTGCAAATATGAAGATTGCTGTGAGAATTCTGAATTTATGAATGAATTAAAAACCAACATGTGCCAGGCACAATTGGTTCACACTTGAATTCCTGGCTGAGATCTGAGGATCACAGTTCAAAACCAGTGGTCAGGAAAATCTGTGAAGGGTTAGGAAGGTGGCTCAGTGGTAGAGCGCTTGCCTTGCATGCATGAGGCCGTGGGTTTGATTCCTCAGCACCACATAAACAGAAAAGGCCAGAAAGTGGTGCTGTGGCTCAAGTGGTAGAGCGCTAGCCTTGAGCTGAAGAGCTGAGGAACAGTGCCTAGGCCCAGAGTTCAAGCCTCACGACCGACAACAAAGAGAAAGAAGGAAAGTCTGTGAGACTTAAGTGAGGTTCACCACCACAAAGCCAGAAGTAGAGGTGTGGCTAAAGTGGTAGAGCTCCAGATTGAGAAAAAGAGCTAAGAGAGCACCCAGGCCCTGAGTCAAGGCCCCAGGACCAGCACCACAAGACCCTTCACCCCAGTGAGTCAAGTAAAATTTCCCAGGATAATAGAAAAAGGAGAAATTGGAGACAGCCGATGCCAGTGATAGAAGAGCAGCAGTTAGCTAGGTGAGCCTGCTACCCTGGGAAGTTCCTAGCGGCATTCAGAATGTGTTTACAAGGACGCTTCTTACCAGATCCATGCCCTAGTTCTGGTGGGGTGTTTCTTCTCTGTTTCTCCTGTGTGTGGCGGGAGGTGGGGGACCATTCCATGCCTCTGAAGATGAGCTGCTGCAGCAGAGTCCTGTGCACAAGCCACGCTGAGAGTTCCCCTGAGAAATACTCCTCCGTGCTGTCTTGTAGCCTTGAAAATTGTTTAAACTTTCTACTTGTTGATACTTAGAAAGCAAATCATGTTTTGCTGCTTTCCTTTCTAAATCGAATCTACATTGTGCTTCTCCTTGAAAGGTTCCGCCCCTGCGCCTTCTCACGGCCATCATTAGCTCCTCTGCACGATGGGAAACGCCGGTCTGCCTGCACATTTGAGCAAGCTTGGTTAGCTGGGAACACGGAACACCGCTGTACATATCCTTGTAGGGGCACCACTTCTTCTGTGGCATGAATAAAATGTGTCTGTGAGATGCACCACATCGTGCGGGTTCCAGTGTGTCCTCCCCTGGGGTCCTGCTTGGGCAGCAGGCACTGAGCCTCACACCGGGCGGCCATCCTAGGAAACCTAGGGATGGTGAGCAGATGGCCTCCAGAGTCTCGGGTGTGGTCCTGGTCACAATCTAGGCACTCAGTCAACTGTAATGTTCAATAAACGTCTGTAAACCACTGATCTGCAGCCCACCTCCTGACCTCTGAGCCTGTTCACACTTCTGCAAAAATGAAACGTTAATTATGTAAGTTCCAACACAAGAAGGGAGAGGAAGCCGGGTGCCGGTGCCTGTAACTGTAATCCTAGCTACTCAGGAGGCTGAGATCTGAGGATCACGGTTCAAAGCCAGCCCAGGCAGGAAAGCCCTTGAGACTCTTTCCTCCAATAAACCACTGTGGCTCAAGTGGTAAAGAGCTTGCCTTGAGCTGAAGAGCTCAGAGACAGCGTCCAGGCCCAGAGTTCAAGCTCCATGACCGACCAAAAAAAAAAAGCCAATTGAGCTGGATACTCAAAACTATTATCCTAGCTACTCAAGATCTGAGAATCTGAGGACTGGTTCAAAGCCAGCCTAAGGTAGACAAATCCAAGAGACTCTTCTCCAATAAACCTGCAAAAAGCCAGAAGTTGAGGTGTGGCTTAGGTGGTAAAGTACCAATCACAAGCTGAAAAGGCCAAACAAAAGCTTGAGGCTCTGAACTCAAACCCCATACCAGTGTATATACACACAAGCACATGCAAGCCAGTTGAAAACCAGGCGTGATGCATACCTATCCCCACACGCAGGAGAGGGAGGCAAGAACCACAAGTGCAAGGCAACAGAAGAAGATGTCTCAAACAAACAGCCAAGCCAGGTGCCAGCGCCCATGCCCAGAAACGTAACCACTTAGACTGGAAGTGCTGTGGCTCAAAGTGGCAGGGCGCAATCCTTAAGCACAAAGGTCAGGGACAGAACCTAGGCCCCGAATTCAAGCCCCACAACCAAAAAACTAATCATTGATACTACCTTTACTTGGTCTGATAGCAAATTCATAATCTATAGTATTCATCTCCAATTAAAGCATTTCCAAAGACCCCTTGAGTCAAGGTGCAAAAAGATGGTACAGCTGGTATCACTCATGAGGTAGGCGTGAGTCCGCTGGGAACTGGGCATTTGGTAGGCTGTGGGAGTCCAGCTGTAGACTCCCTGTACCTGTCTGCAACATGTAGTAGAAGTCTGGGCCGGGGCTGGGAAGGTGGCTCAGCGGTAGAGTGCTTGCCTGGCATGCATGAGGCCCTGGGTTCGATTCCACATAAACTAAAAAAAAAAAAAAGGCTGGAAGTGGCATTGTGGCTCAAGTGGCAGCGTGCTAGCCTTGAGCTAAAGAGCTCAGGGACAGTACGCAGGACTAGAGTTCAAACCCCATAACTGACAATAAAATAAAGGTCCTGGGCTGTGGTAAATGCCTGTCAGGTGCCTGCCACAATCAGACCTGCTGTAGCCTCATTCCACTTTGGGTTTTTTGGGGTTGGTTTTTTTTTGCCGGTCGTGGACCTGAACTCGGCCTGGGCGCAGTGCCTCAGCTCTTTAGCTCAAGGCGAGTTCTCTATCGCTTGAGTCACAGCGCCCCTTCCAGCTTTTTCTGTTTATGTGGTGCTGAGGAATCGAACCCAGGGCCTCATGCATGCAAGGCAAGCACTCTACCACTGAGCCACCTTCCCAGCCCCTCAATCCACTCTGTAAGATGGGAACAAACCTACCTCATGTCTCTTAGTATTGGGTTTGCTGGGCTGTGCGAAGCCTATGTGAAAGCATTACTTGACACCAGGCTCTGAGGCTGTTTTTAGGTATGCCAGTATCAGAGGCTTGAAGTCAGAAACTTCAGCTTATTCATGGTGATACCTTACCACTTGAGCCATGCCTCTAGCCCTGCTTTTTGCTGATTAGTTGGAGATGGAGTCTGCCAAGGCTTGCCTGGAACCATGGCTTGTAGGCCTCAGCTTCCTGTAACTAGGAATTGCAGGCATGAGCCACCTGACGGAGGTGAGGCTTAGTGCTGACCCTGGAGTCTTGCACCATCAGACGCACACCTCTCTGCTCAGCCTCCAGAGGAGGTCCTCCTGTAGCATGGTAAGAAAAGACCCTTCAAAGTTACTGATACACTGACTCAGGTACCTGGGACATGCTGATGCCCAGGTGCAGGCTGTGGAGATTGCGGATCTTTGGAAGAACAGGACTGCGGCCCTGCCTTGACACCCACTAGAGTCTGGTAGCTGCTGCTCACTGTAGAAGGGACCAACACCAGCCTCGTGCCATGGAGCTTCCTGTGTGTTCCCTGGAATCCAACAGGGTGTTATTTCAGAAGAGGAAACAGGCTGAAAGGTTGTGGCAGGCTGAAGGTGTCCCCACTGGTGAGCACTGGGAGGGGACTGGGCTGTGATAGTCTGAGCTTGTTGGGAGGAGAAAGCGAGGATGTCCACCGTGTCCCATGGAAGCTCTTCGCACATAGGCTGGATGGCTGTTTTCCCTCCACACCTAAAGTAAATCTGCTCTTGTTGGAGCCCATATCTTGTGCTGGGCTGGGTAAGAGACCATTTGAACTGCAGTTGATAGTCCAGAACGGCTTCCTAAGCTGACGTGTACTGAGAGTGGCCTGTAGGTGGAGCCAGAGTGCCTGGCCGTGGTCATAAGGCCTCCCCTGGGGCAAGGAGTAAGGTTGACCCCCTGCAACTGTGCAGGAAGGGGCGGGGGAGCACAGGGGGAACTGGCCAGTGCTGGGGGACAGTAGAGGGAAGGTGTGCACACACCACTGCTGACGCAGGCAGCACCTCAGCTGCAAGGCACCAGCGGCTCACACCTGTGATCCTAGCTCCTCAGGAGGCTGAGATCTGAGGACCATGGCTCAAAGCCAGCCCCAACAGGCAAGTCCATGAAACTTTTATCTCTAACTGCCAGAAAAACTAGAAACTGGATCAAGTGGTACAGGGCTAGCACAAAAGCTCAGAGGCAGGCTGGGCGCTGGTGGCTCACACCTGTAATCCTAGCTACTCAGGAGGCTGAGATCTGAGGATCACAGTTTGAAGCCAGCCCAGGCAGGAAAGTCCATGACACACATCTCCAATTAACCACAGAAAGAAAGAAAGAAGAAGTGGTACTGTGGCTCAAAATGGTAAAGTGCTAGCCTTGAGCAGAAAAGCATAGGGACTGTACCAACACCCTGACAAAGCCCAGACCCTGAGCTCAAGCCCCAGGACCAGCACCAAAGTGGGGAGCTGGGAGGGTCATCTCAGCCCTCCACAGGGGAGGAAGCAGGAAGCCTCAGGAAATTCCCACACATCTTCCTTGCTTGAAAAAAGAATTCCAAGGATGGTTCCCTGCTTGAATTGTCCTAGGAGAGCCAAGATGGACCCTGTCCTGACGGAGACCCCTGGAGTCGCACAGTCCCTGAGCTTTCTTCCAGCTTTGATGGCTTCTTCAGAGCAATCCCCTCCTCACCCCCCCCCTCCCCAGAACAGTGACCACTGGCTGCCCAGACCCAAGCTGGAATCAGCCAGCTCTCCTCCTGTGGCGTGGCCCCCGAGCCCCCAGGCCCGTCCCAGATTGGTTCTTCCTTCTTCCTGCTCCCGGCTGCCTGTCCCAACAAGCAGCCTGCTCCTGATTCTTCATCTGGGAGTCACTTCCCACAGCCTACCAGGGAACTCGGGGCACCTGAACTGGGAAGCCGGGAGCCTGGCCCTGACACCACCCTGCTGGGCCTCACTGCACTCTCCTCTGCCTTCTCTACGACCTGCCTTCAGGTAACCTGAGCGCCCCAAATGGAGGCTTGGGAACATCACGATGGGCCGAGCAGTGTCCTCAAGTATCCAGGAGACTGGCAGGAGGCCCGCCGGCCGCTCACCCCACAAAGAGCAGGCTGTGGGGACAGCTCCGAGCCGCACAGGGGCTGCCCAGCTCCGAGGCTCAGGTTCTCCACAGGCTCAATGAAACGCAAGCCCTCTCCTTTGAAAAGGGACAGAAAGGGAGCCTGTGTGTTTGTCCTCACTCCAGGGACAGTGGCCCTCATGGCCCATGGCCTCCCATGCACTGGAAGCTCAGGAAGCCGTTCCTGCACCTGCACTGCCCCAGCCACTCGCCCGCCCCCTCCCCCACCCCCCCCTCGAATGGAGGGACACGGCTCCCTCCTCCAGCGGAAGCTCCACAAGACTAGGCATGGGGCCAGCCAGGAGGTGTTCTGGGAGTTCACTTCTGAGAGGAACTGCGCACAGTGCATGCTTGCACATCAAACCCTCTCTGCTGGCCTTCCATCCCAGCTGCAGTTCTCAAAGGGGGATCCTGGGCTGCAGCCACAGCGAGGCCCACTTACATAGTCCCAGACAGGGCACGGGTCCCCGAGAGAACAGAGAACACACCAGGCCCCAAGCCTACCTCCAGGACCCCAATGCTAGGCTAGGCCTGGACAGAGTGGGTCTGGAGGACGGGGGCTGTCTGGACTAGCTCCCTGCCCCCACTTTTTGCTCTTGCCTGCCCATTGAGGATGGTGTCCCGGTGGTATCTGCCCTTGTGGATCCCGTGTGACATTTTCCCACATTGCCACCTGCATCTCTACCTTTTTTTTAAGTTTAAGGGGGTGGAACCTAGGGTCTGTCATGTGCTTGGTGAGGATACTTCGGCTACAGAGCTACAACCCAACCCTGCTCCGGTGGTAGTTTCTGAGGGTTGACAAGTCTTGATATGTCAGTCGTGACCCCAATTGACAAATCCAGCTTAGGTTAGGGATGGCCCTGGTGGGTGCTGCGCCTCAGGGCTAGGGCCCTAGCATTAGACAGGAGCCCATGTTGTCAGATCTCTCCCAAAGTGACAGGCAGGATTTAAGGGAGGGGGCTGAACAAACAGGCTCCTGGGCCTCTATTTCACTATCCTCTCCCTTGGTCACTGGGGAAGGCTGGTGGAGTGACCACTATGTTCTGGTTCTCAGGGTCCCAGTGACAGTGATGATCCCCCCCCCCC